GAGCCCATTTGGGGTTTTCTTGGCAAAGACACTGGAGAGGTTTATCATTTCCTTTTCTAGCTCATTTTTACAGGTGAGAAACTGAGGCAAATTGGGTTAAGTAACTTGCCCAGGCTGACACAGCTAGTCAGTGTCTGAGGCCAGATTTGAACTCAGGAAGATGTCTTCTTGACTCCAGGCCTGGTCCCCACCCCACCTTGCAGAGATACGGTAACATTAATATATTGATCACACAGATCTCTATTTTGTATTCATTCTGCAATCACCTATAGAGGATGAGAAGGAAATGATATTGATATAATTGGGAGGGTCAAGAAGTTCAGGTTTAGTAGAGTGAACTGAGGTTACTGGATTTAGAGAAGCCACTAACTTTTGTTCAGATATGGTGCTGCTGACGGTGAGAGTAGCAGTAAGCCTAAGAGAGTTGATGCTCTAAAATATTCTGGTGTACTCTACAAACGCACTCTTTTACTCCAAGGTGAAAAAAAGGTGAATATTAATCATTTATGCGTGAGATCAGACAGACAGACAGATAGATAGATAGATAGATAGATAGATAGATAGATAGATAGATAGATAACTATCACCTTGGGTTTGCAATCAGTATTTTAGAGGTATCGCAGAAATAGCTTAAGTATCCTTCTCTAACTTTCTTTTCTGGGCTGTGGAATTCTTTGAGAGGACAAAGGAGAACCATTGGACATTTGGTTTCTCTAAACATTTTTTGGCAGAATTCTGTATCCAAGGCTGTTAAAAAGAGACAGCATGGGATTGTGGAAAAAGTATTATTGCATTTGGAATTAGGAGAGTTGGCTTTTACTCTCATCTTTAAAGACAAGTTATTGGGGCAGCTAGCTGCCACAGTAGATAGAGCTCCGACCTTGGAGTCAGGAGGACTTGATCGATTTCTTCAGCTGTAAAGTCGAGGTGTTGTACATGATGATCTTTCTAGTACTTTCCACTTTTTAAAGTTTTTTATAATCACTAGTGTTATTAGTACTGTGATGAAGGAAGAAATAACAGTTAATAAGGAGAATCAAGAAAGACTTAAATTTGAATACATCACCAGCTATGGGATTTTTTTTTTTGGTTGTCACATAATCTGTAAGTTTTAGTTTTCTTATTTTAAAAAGAGCCCAGTTTAAAACTTTTGTGATCTATGATATGTGACGGTACCTTGGAGAAGAATGCTTGTGGCATTGGCAAGTTCAGATTTAACAGCAGGCACAATTTCACATGCTTTAGAAATTTCACTTCAATTTGTTAATATAGTAAGCTGTTGTTGGTTTTCACAGTGCATTTTAAGCCAACCACTCTTCTATCTATTACCTCTTAATTATTAAATTAGTTTGGAAATAAAAGAATATAAATATATATTTAATTCAGAGGTCCTAAAATTAGAGAAATCATGTATAAAATATGACTTTATTTTTACTATGGAGAGGAGCAATTATATGATGAATTGTGCTTTTGTTTAAATTGCTACTGCAAAAGTCATGTTGTTAAGTTCAGGTCTTAGGCCTTTATTACAAGTGTTTTAGGAAAACACTGACTAAGCCTTTTTATTAATGTGAAGTGGAAAACACATTAATTTTTATTTACACATAGTCATTAGTGGCCATTAATCAAAGTAGAATTTTACTTATGCAAGTGATATGCTAACACATTAGAAGTATGTTAATAATACTCCTGGTACATGAATTTGTTATTAACCTTTCTCTGCTCCTGTTAACGAGCAGTGCTTGCTATCTTTCCTTGAATGATCTGATTTGCCTAATAAATTTTCTCATGATATTAAAAAATCACACATTATTATTTCCCAACTTGGACGTTTGAAAAATATGGATGTATCTTACAGAAAAAGCTAAAATTTCAAACTTTAAAAAGTTTCATAGGACTTGTTGGTACTAAAATGAATACAATCTTTGGCTTATTGGTTAATGGATCAATGTAAAGATATCATAAAAGAATATATATTAGAGTGTGTTGGGCTATGGGCTCCTTGAGGAGGACATTTAATATTGAATTTGGGGAGGAATATTAAAATTGTTCAGGCATTGCCTTTATCATTCCCCATTCCCCCTTCACTAGCTTAATAATTATTTGGCATATCTATTTTATATGTTGAATTTTCTTTATTTTCTAAATTGCATGTTAATAGCATGCATTTTTATACTTGTATGATCTTCAGTAGTTGCCACGCAGCAGGGGCTATCTTGGCAAAGGAAGTTGGAATAAATGGGAAGACAGGTCATTGAAATCACAGGTTAGATGTTTGGAATATTAAAAGTTAAATTATAAACCTTTATAGAGAGAATATATAGTTTCTTCTTATGCTAGATAAAAAATAGGTAAACAGAACCAACAAATGAAATAATATTATTTAGCCATCCTTAATGTCTGCTTATAATGGAGGGATTTGATAGGTAAATGAAAGAAAAAAATTCCTAAGAAACTAATTCTTTGTATACTTTTCTTATTGGAAGTAGTGTACCAAGGAAGTACTGATTTGAAAATCATTGAGAATAAAGGCTATTATTGAAAAAAGAAGGAAGGAGATATATGTTACTTATTTTCAGGCTTGTTGGTAACGCTTACTTGCACGGAGAACAGCAGTTTAATTGGAAGTTTGTTATAATCTAGGTGTTTGGAAGAAGGCACATGAAGTCATAACAACCTTTTTAGTAATCTCAGTCATCTTAGAAAGGCCTAAATTCTCTAAAGGATAAAAGTACACAGTGTAGTCTTACTTTCATTGTGTTTTTGAGATTTTGGAATTAGGTTGTTTACAGTCTATATTAATTGATTGACCCCATGATGTGTTAAACTCATCAAATTTAAAATATTTTAATATTAGTGTATTACTTAAATCATTTTCTATGTTTGTATTCTTATGAAAGTCTTTTTTCTGCTATTTGTGAGTAGTGAAGAGCCCACATGTTGATTATTTTCTATATCTTTGGCAAATAGAACTTTTTTTTTATCATGCAATGCTAATTCCAAAAATGATAATTAAAAAATAATTAATCCACTTAGACTTTTCAAATCTTCATCCTATCCCAGCTTCTAAAAAATTGAATCTGTTTGTTGTTAAATTGAATGAATTTCACTTAAGCCCTGATGTCATACAGAAAGTCAGAATTTGAATTATAGAAGAGTATATGTAGTGTTTGTATTGGTAAACCTTGATCATCCAAAACTTTGTGACATTACACTTTGAGAAGAAGAGGGAATCACAAAACAAGCTCTTCTCAAGAATTTAGAGGGAAAGCAAACTTCTGGTTACATTCTGGTGTCAGTACATGTTTAGTCCAACCTTGTACCCCTTCTGTTTTGAGAAGCAATGCTCAGAATGTTGATCATGAAGCACTAAAAGGCCCTGAATCATCAAGGAATATCCAGTGTAGTCGGCTTATAAAGGTAGGAAAAGTGGACTAAAGTGTTTTGGAATGATTTTCAACAAGGATTGAAACAAAAAGACTTAATTTGAACGTTCATTGAACAAAAGTACAAACACGTTTCCCAAGTATTTTGGTTAATCAGACTTTTATAAAGTTCCAATTCAACACTGAACCCACTCCCCTAAGATGAATATTTAATTCCTCTTTCATGCTAAGTATATTTAGTGACATCTTGTTAATCATTTTATAACAATTTCTTTAGCTCCTCTCATTTTATCTAAATTACACCCAGTGGTTCCTAAAATTTAGGAAACTTTCCCCCAAATTCTTATTTGTCATTATGTAATTATCTGAACCTTTGGTTGAAAAATTTATCTGGATATTTATTTGAAATTCCACCCCCTACCTCCCAACCTCAGTATATGAATTTCTAACTAAAAGGGCATTTATTTAGCTTCTACTAAGAATGGGAGTTTGAAATTGACCCACAACTGTGCTGAATGTGTTGTCTTAAATAGCATTGTTACATTATTGTACTTATATTGAATTCCATGTATTTGTTGTCATATTTTTCTAGCATTTTATTTTGGTCTTTGTGGCAAAGTCTAGTTGACTATTGTAGGTTTTAAATTAAAGGACCTCCCCTTCTCCTCCTCCCAAAAAAAAGATACTTTATTACACTTAAGTTCATACCTTAGTCTTAAAACATGGCTTTTAATCCTAATGCTCCCCCCCCAACCCCCTGCAAAAAAAAATGTCAAAAATAGATTTTAATTTGGTGTTTGAAGAAAACTGGTGCTGTTTGGTCCTTTTATCATTAGGATGTTACTAAAAATGTGACTGTAAACCCTAGTATTTTTAAGAAGATGATATTCTGTCTGAAATATTACATTCTCCAGTCAGGCATAGAAGGTATGAAGCTGTTTAGAGCCTGTCTTTGACATATTTGAAGATTTAAAAAAGAGATCTATATCCTATAGTGCTCTTTAAAATGAGAGAATTAAAGTTTTATTTTCCTTTTATGATGACTCAAATGGAACGAAGCATTCCGATAAAAAAATTGCCAGTTTCTAGTAGCAGATATACTTATCAGAAAAAAGTATTGGTTTCCTGCAATTAAAAATGCCTCAGTGAAATTAGAAGATCCAAAAGCTGTAAGGGAGCCCCTGGCGGTCATTTTGAAACATTCTTAAAGACTCTAACCTTTACTCATACAGTTCTAGACAAATGGAGAAAACAGCATGGTGGCAGCATTCAGTGGGTACCATGAAATATCTTGGCTGTAGGCCTCTTTCAAGTGTCTTGTGAAAGAGCAATTGGCCAGCAAGATGGTGGATTAATCACTTGATCTAAAGCCCAAACTTCCCCTCACCCCGCCTCCAAAAGAGGCATTATAAATGTAGTGCTCTAAGGGCCATTTAAGAGAACTATCCCTGGCCTGGCTTAATGATCCTCCCCTGTTACCAAGAGAATCCGTGGTGACTTGAGAAACAGAAAGCCACCTGAGAAGAAAAATTTCCAAGCGTGTGTTTTCCATTACAGGATTATGGAGTATGACTTTTCGCGGTTTCTAATGTTTCTTTTCTTTTTTCTGTTAAGTTGCTATAGCCCAAGGTGGAGCAGTCCAGATTTCTAATCCAGGATCTGATGGTGTTCAGGGACTACAGACATTAACAATGACAAATTCAGGAGCTCCTCCACCAGGTGCTACAATTGTACAGTATGCAGCACAATCAGCTGATGGCACACAGCAGTTCTTTGTACCAGGCAGCCAGGTTGTTGTCCAAGGTATATTTTATTACTACAATAAGTTTAGATAGTTTTAAATGATTCACACCATTTTGTGGTGGGGTGGCTTTTCAAATGACATTAGTAGTTTCTATTGGCCACTTAACAAGGAGGAAAGCTGAGAAAGATATAATATCTTAATACATCAAACAGCCATTTACACAAATTGCTTAATTCCCTCTAAGTAGTAAAATTTTGTGAACATTTAGAAAAATTAAAGTTAATGTAAAGTTATGATAAAACAGCATCTTAAGCCCACCAAAAAGTATCTGAGGGATAAGAACTTGAGCTTTGTTGTACGTCTTTTAGGACAAATTTAGCCTAATCATAGTCAGGTGGTTGAGGTGGACTTTTTTCCCCTAGCCATGGTGCTGCTGTCAAATTGCCACCAGATAATTTCAAAGCAAATCCAGATTTCACTTGTCCTTAATGTACCAATTGTACCTAAAGTACCAATTTTCTCTCTGCGAGTTCAGTGCTCAAGAGGGCCAGCCTGAAGAAAGGAAGACCTAAATTTAAGCCCTAGCTTTGCTACATGTTAGCTTTGTGACTATGGGCAGGTCAACCCTTCAGTGTCTCTAAGACTGTCAAGTTGCAGATGAATTGCAAGTCTACTTCAGTGGAGGGAGTTTCCACATGGGGAGTTCCCTAAACCAAAGAAATCACAGTTCTAGCTTAGACCTTCCCAATTCCCTTCTCCTTTCCCCCCACACCCTGTGGCACTTATAAATAAAGTGAACCCATAATTATGCAGTAATTCCATGCTATTAGAATGACCAGACAGCTTGATAGGCTTTCAGTTATAAATTATTTTAATAATTTTGTTCAGTTAAATGGATTACATTCATAAGGGCTTCAACATTAATTAATCAGCTAAGAGGGCTGTATATGTTATTTTATGTGAAGTAATACAACTTTTTAAGATCTCGAGTTTCATTTCTCTTGAATGGTGTGTTTACTCATTGTATATGTTTATGGCACTGGTTTTGAAGGTTATCAAGCTGAGCTCTTTAGTCTGTTACTTTTACAATAATAGAAAGCAGCAGCTTACACCAGACATGTAACATGAAAATACTTGCTTTTCCCTTTTATATGCTTTGCCTATCATATAGCTAATCTAGAACATACAGTATTTGAAGAACTGTCACTAATGTTCATTTGTGTGAAAAATACACCTAATACTTACTTCATAGATAGCACACCTCTAATCTTTGGTCAGAATTTTTTCCTAATGTAAAAGAAAATTTGTTTTATTTGACTCAGTGTAAATTTTATATAGGGTGAAGTTATGATTTCTAATGTGGCGAACAATAATTTCCCCTCTACTGCAACCTCTCATTCTGTGCCTTAGCTTTTTAAAAAAGCAATAAACTTTTTTCTAGACCAAGTACAAAACTGATAAGAAGAAGGGCTGTGATTGACTATTGTAAATGTGGAGGCGTTAAAATGATACAGTTTAATTATGTTAGATTGAAAGTCAGTTTTGTCCTTCTGCCAGTGTTAGCGTCAAGAGACTTCTAGCTATGTTGTCACTTTTCCAGCGAGTCCTACTATTCTTTCAGTAGATGATGATGATGATGATGATGATGATAACTAAGATTTACATAGCGCTTAAAGGATTGCGATGCGCTTTACTTATATTCTCTCATTTGATCCTCACAACCCTGTTGTTGTCCCCATTTTACAGATGAGAAAACTGAGGCTGAAAGAGGTTAAGTGACTTGTCCAGGATCATACTTGAGCTAGTAAGTGTCCAAGGCAGGATTCGATTTCAGGTTCTCCTGAACACAAGGCCAACACACTATCCACTATGCTTGGTCCAGACTGGAACTAGGTTCCTAGGGAATCAGTTTTAAACCCTCCCTTAGAAGAACACATTAATAGCATAATTTTTAGTAAAAAACAAAAGCCCACCAAAAAATAGTAAATTTTTAATAGAGTATTGGGGTAGGCATTAGGAAACTTGAAATCTAGTGCTGACTCTGCTGCCTATATTCTGACTTTGAAGGAAAGTATTTTTTTTACCACTTTAAGCCTTGGTTTCCTCATCTGTAAAATGAGAAGACTGCGTGAGATGATTCTAAAGCCGCTAAAAGTGGGTGACTCTACATCAGACCCACTCCTATATCCTAGAGGCTTTAGGATCTTCCCAGTGATTCAGGTCTACTCAGGGTGGAAGCAGAGGCATAATAATGTGGTCATTCCCTGGGGAATGCAAAGTGGACTTAACTTTGCTATATTCATTTAGTCTTTCAGATCTTCATCAAGCTTCCCAGGGAAACTTCAGATATCTGGTATTTAATTCAGAGCGCTCAGCATTCATTCAGGGATACAGGTGTCATTTTTGTCCTAATACCAACTTGATCACTTTTAGAAACTCAGTTTACTTTTTAAAATTTGTTTCCTCATTTGTAAAATGGTAAAAATGATGCTTTCCTTGAAGAATGTTATATTTTAGTGTTATTGTGATAGCAAAATATATATCTTTGAGCTCTTAAGAAATAAGACTGGTGTAGACCCATTGTTGGTAGGATGAGAATTTTTATTTTGATTTGGTTTTCCACAAGTGGAGATTAGTTGCACTAAACCATCTATATCTGGCCTTACCATCTCTCGTATTCATTCACTGAACATTAAATTTATTAAACACCTACTGTGTGCTAGGTATTGTTCTAGGAGCTGGAGATATAAATACAAAAATGAAATAGTCCCCAGTCTCAAGGAGTTTACAGTAATCTTTAATAGCTTAAAATACCCTAAGATTTTCCAGGTATTAAGGGAAAATACAGTGAACCCCAAGATAAGTAAATTGCAAAATACCAAGTGAGGTCAAAGAAATTGCATTGAGAGGGCAGTAGCAGGGGCCAGAGGGTAGGGGGGAAAAGGGGAGGTATACAGACATGGCCCTTGACCTGAGCCTTCAGGGGAACAGAGAAGGTTATGAGGGAGAGGTCAAGAAGGAGACACATTCCATATTGGGAGGGGGATAAGCATGTGAATGATCATGGAGGCAGGAGAGGGAGTATGCTTGTGATGGAGAGCAGTGTGCTGCTATTAATAACCTTGGAGAGGTAGGCTAGAGCCACATTGTAAAGGGCTTTAAATGCCAAATGGAGGAGTGTGTATTTTATCCTAGAAGCAATTGGAAGCCACTGGCACACCTTCAGCAGAGAAGTGACATGATGGCGAGACCTGTGTTTTAAGAATATCAATTTGACAACTACATGGAGGATGGATTGGAGACCGGAGAGGTTGGAGGCAGGGAGACCCAATTAGGAGGCTATTAAAATGGTCCAGGTGAGAGGAGATGAGGGTCTGAACTGGCAGAGTGGAGACAAAGAACGGTGTGTCTTGGCTGGCATTGTGGGAAATAATTGATGGTTAAGGGTTGGGGGGGGAGCATTTATACAACCATACACACACGATATAAAAATTTTTTTGTTACTTGTCCACACTTGTGTTCTCTTAGTGCAACACACTCTTGGTGAGCAAGCTTCCCCTGTTATTGAAGATTGGCAACTGTGCTGCAGTTTTGAGTCTTTTCAGAGAGTTGCCTGGGGCAGCAAGAGATTAAGTAACTTGCCTAGGGTTATGCAGCTGGCAGGTGTCACTTGAAGCTAGGTCTTCTTGACTTTTTGAGGCCAGCGTTCTGTCCTCTGTGCTAGGCTTCCTTTCAGTCAGTACATTATGATTTTACTAATAGAACAATCAATCAGCAAGCTTTTATCAAGTACCTTCTATTTGTCTACTTCTATGCTATCCCCCTACCCCCAGCCCCTGAGAAACAAATACAAATGCAAAGAATGAGACAGTCCCCACTTTTAGGGAGCTTAAACGCTGTGTCAGGGCAGGAAATATGGACATATGTAAAATATGTACAAAGTAAATGAAGGAGAAGTAGAATTTGACAGTGTTTTAATTGCGGCGGAGTGTTTAGATATTTAAACTAAAATTTGACAACCATAATTATCACTATTATCTATACTCAGAATCCCTAACATAATTTCAGATGGGGCAAGAATTCCTATAGCAGTGATATTTAATCTTAAAGATCCACTCTGATGATTCATTGTGTGTTTGAGTTCTTAGCTTCTCCAAGAACTGTGCCTGTTAGGATTGCAGGTCAAAGTTCATACTGAACTGGTATGAGCTTTTTGGTATGGGCCTGGCAAAGCATTTCATTCCTGCCTGTCATCTAAGAACCAACTTAGCTAAATTCTGAGGAGCCAGGTTGGCCATAGCAACTCCTAGCATCTGCGTAAAAGGGGTTATGTTTTCTGTCAGTTGAGGGTGTACCCATGCCAAGGATGTCATGGATCTTTAGAGTACTAAAATGTAACTTTGACTATTCTGGCACTATAAATGACTTTAAAACAACAAAACAATTAACATATTCCACCAATAAAGTCAGCAGATAGTCTATCATGCCAGCAAAGAAAGCTCTAATTAATGTTATGTCAAAAAATGTTCCCTTTGCAGTATAGAAAATCACAATATCTCTTGTTCTTTTTTTATTCCTTTTTCTTAAACTGTTCATTCCCCCAAACTTTAAATCTATAAGTTAGAGTTAGTCAGTACACCAACTAAGAAAAAAAATCTATTTTTAGATTTCATAAAAGTTTGTATCAAAATCTTCAGCAAAGAAAAATATAGAAATAACAAAATGGTTTTAATTCTTAAAGCTAGTATGGCTGACATTTTCTTTGAATTTCTTTGAATTTATTTTCTTTGAGTTGTTAGAACCAGTTTTATTAGTAGATTTTGGAAGAAAGTGGGAATCAGTCTCATTAGCAAGAGCTTTCATTAGGCTTCTGTTGCAATGAACTATTCAGTGACAAAGTAAATTGATGACATTGATAAGTCAGTGATGTCATTGTGATGTCAGTACTCCTGTTTGTTGTCCTGTACATGCTGCTAGTTTGAAACATTTTCTGTTGAACCGTGTTAGAGGAACAAGAAAATTCTGTAAGCAGAAACTACCTGATCATGGCTGTAACTGG